ATCTGCAGTGACCTGCTAATTTCAACAAAGAGGTTTATCTAATTCAAAAGCTCTCCTAAATGTTGGCCAAGATCCGAGCTATTGAAAAATAAAAAGTTTAAATCTCTGAAAGATTTTTCTGAGTTAGAGTTGACACGTGACAAGTATTCCACTTACCCCTTGCGTTCCAAGGAACACCATGCCGGCGGCGATTTGTTTGGCAAACAACACGAGATCGTAGTTGGTCAAATCCTGAGCTCTTCCCTCACCAAGATAGTACCGATCCCTCACTCCTCGGCATTTTCTCAGGTAGCCAAGTAGATCACCACATGGCAAGTACTCCATGATGAGTATGGGGTGAGCTTGAGTGACGTAAAACAAAAGAAAAAGCAAATAAACCCCATGTCAAGGCTCCTTACTGTATATCAAAGATGAAATTGCTGATGGCTTTCTTCATAAAGCAGATTAGCTTAAAAGAAGGACTCATTCTTTTAGGATCTACCTTCATCAGAATTTACTTTCAAAAACTTACTATAGGTAAAGGGAGAAAGCCGGCTGGCCCCGTTAACGAGATTTAAAGCTATCCGACCGGATCTTAATGAACTGTTGATGGATACATGCTCTCGAAGAAAAACAGTGTGGTTGCCTCCAAGAAAATGACAAACTTGGCTCCATCAACATCCTAGTTACGGAACTCATGTTAAGAGGTCCTAAGAGGTTCATTCAGCATTTGTAGTATCGTTGATAACACATACCTAGAAAAGATGCTGTACGCTTAGTACTTACTTTCTGTCGTAACGCAGCCCATGAACTTTACAATGTTTGGCGAAACGTTTTCACCTATAAGTTTCCCCAGCTCAATTTCTCTCATCAAACATTTCCTTCCTTCCTCTCCAGCAGTGGCTGCAACAAAAGTATACATTGATAGAGACACATTCTGATTAATACATTTGTTCCATGCAAGTTCAAGCCAGAAAGAATCCGGCAGAGTTACAAATCTCGCATCTTCTTATAGCCGTTTGGATGATAATTTTCGCAGCTAGCAGATTGTCCAACTCACTGACCTCGGCCACAGTTGAGTTGACTGTGAGTATAAAGGCCGAATCGGAACCAGTTGTGGTTTAAATCCTACCAATACATCTTTCTTTCTTTAGTTTTACCGTCATTATAATAATAATAAACAATCTTTGAGGAGGAAGCGCCCGTCACGTAAATACGTGGTTTTCAGGGAGGTCTAAAATATAAAATATACGGCGTATATCTAAAAATTTTTATCCATTATTTAAAATATTTATCCATTAGGAATTTTGTAAGGTTTTCCTTAAAAATTGTGCATGGTATTGGCCTTCTTAAAAATACTGGGAGAGACATCCAGTCATTTGTAAAACGGAAGTAGGACACCCTCTTTCCGAATTCCGTTTTAGGTTTAGGCTGTCTAGGTAAGTAGCCATTTCTAGTGTTGTAGCCATGCGAACTTCTCAATGTCGATTTAAAACTTTCAAAATGTTGCGGAATGTCTCCTTTGATTGCATTTTCTACGGTGGTACAACGATGAAATAGACGTCTTCCAGCCAGAGGGAGCCAATTCAGACACTTCAGAGCTTCTGAAGAAGACATTTTGCCTAATTTAATTTTCTTCGCAAATTTGTTCTGAAAACTTTGCAATTTTTTCCATTTCTGATTTTAGACCGGGTTGATCTCCCTACACTGTGTCGGCATAGTCTAGGTGTGGTAGCACTAGCCCATTGTAGAAGGCTATGCGAGTTCTATTGTCTAACATATGAAATATGCGATTAAACAAAGAAAGACGATGACCTAGTTTCTTTAGCAAATTGCTGATATGTGGCTTCCAGCTCCATTTTACATCCGTTGTTACTCCCAGATATTTGAATGACTGTACGCGATCGATTTGTGTACCATTTGGTTGCAACTCAAAGTCTTCAAACAAGGATAGCATCCTTTCACTGCCTGCCAGCATAAATTTGGTCTTCTTGACATTTATAGTCAACCTGTTATCAGTGTACCAGTTACTGATTTCAGTGAATTCACGTTCCAGAGCAATTTGAAGTTCTTCACGTGTTGATGCGTCACAAAAGAGAACAGCATCATCTGCATACAAAATCATCCGGGTCTCTTTCACAGCATTTGGCAGGCTATTAATGTACATATTAATTAGCAAGGGACCCAAAATGCTACCTTGTGGCACGCCAAGTGTGATGGTATGTGGCTCTGATAATTCTCCGTTTATCAAAACACTTTGCTGTCTATGAGCAAGATACGATCTGAACCATCTTAAAGGTCTTTCAGACAGTTCTAAATGCTCGAGCTTGCGTAGTAGCACTTTGTGGTTCAGAGAGTCAAACGCCTTGGAGATATCGACAAACAGTAGACCAGTTACTTTACCTTTGTCCATAGATTGAAGAACCCAGTTGTTCAATTGTGTGATAGCTTGTTCAGTGCTATGCCCACGCCTAAAGCCATACTGGTGTTGATACAGAAAATCTAGCTGATGTAGATGGGCATTCAACTGGGAATGCACCACTCTTTCTACGACTTTACTCAATACTGGCAGCACAGAGATAGGCCGATAGTTCTCAACTTGCAGTTTATCATCAGACTTGTATAAAGGAGTAACACGTGCAACTTTCCACAGATCAGGGACAATACCATCGCTAATTGATTTGTTCACAAGATAGGTGATTGACGGAGCAAGCTCCGCCTCAGCATCTTTTAGCAGCCTTGCTGGAATTCTGTCAAGTCCAGCTGCCTTATTAACTTTCAAAGAATACAAAATGCTTTGAACAGTGTTCTGTTCAACCCGTTGAAAGTTCAAGGTGGATTTGATATCACTCTGCTTGTTTGCTTCTTTCACTGTTTCATATTTCTTCCATGCGTCCTTACTCACAGGGCGCAATCGATCAGTAACTTTGCTGCCAATGGCAGCAAAAAACTTGTTGAATTTTGTTGCTACGCTTTCTGGCTCCGATACTAAACGTTTCCTGTCATGTACTTGAAAAGGAGAGCCCCTGGTTATTAGAACCAATCACGGAGTTTAGCGAGCGCCACATGTCCTTAGGATTCTCAGCTGACTCAATTAGATTTTTGTAGTGCAATGCCTCCGCTGATTTTATCTTTCTGTTCGTAAAGTTTTTCAATCTACGATACTCAATTCACTGTTCCTGATTGCCAGATCTCTTCGCAACTCTTAATGCATAGTCTCTTTCAGCCATCAGTTCTTTAAGATCAATAGTGATCCAAGGTTTAGACGCATGTTTTGTTCTAATTCTCTTTAAAGGAGCATGCTGGTTTGCAACATCAACAAAAAGATTATTCCAGGCGACTTCAGCATCATTAATATCGTCAAAAGACTCTATAACACTCCAGGGAACGCTAGCAATGTCTCTCCGAAAATGGTTTTATTGTAATGTTTAAAAGATCTTACGTCGCGGATTTCCAAGGGGGCTTTGCAAACTCCGGCTTTCTTTACTACGAAAGTAACAGAATGATCACTTGCTCCGAATTCCTGGACTCCATGCGAGACAATACGGTGAGTGTTATTAACAAACACAAGATCAATTGCCGTACTTGTGAATTCCGTCACGCGTGTGGGCTCTTTGACGAATTGACTCAGACCATGGAGACGAGTCCTTTGCGTTAATTTTCTGGTATATTTGCATGGTTTCAGGGCAATAACATCCGCGTTGAAATCTCCCATAATGATCAAATCCTTTACCATTTCGTCGTCCAATTTAGCGAGAAACTCCTGTTCCAGGCCTAAGATAAATTTCTCTTGATTCATACTTGGTGGTTTATACATCACAGCAAATATCGTGTTCTTAGCCTTTTCTGGACATATTTCTACGCATACCATTTCTAAACAGTCAGATTCTAAGTCACTTCTCCGCTTGCTTGGCCATTTGCTCCTTACAAAGACGGCGCAACCACCTCCATTTCGATTTCTATCTTTTCTGTAGCAAGTATAACCCGAAGGACATATCTTACTATCGAGCAATGTACAATCCAGACGCGATTCTGTTACCACAAACACATCCAATTCAAAGCCAGGTGATAAACAAGTTATGCATTCCCAAGCCAGAGAAGGTTCGCAAAGTTTATCATATTCCGTTCTCTTCATACTGATACACTTAGCATGAAACCACTTGTCGCATGAATCGCATTGTATCGCCATCTGATTCTTTCGGCATCCTTTAGTGCAAACAGCACAAGCATCCGTCACCGGCCCTGGATTCTCCTGTATATCTCCTGCTAACAGAACCATGTAAGTTGCGCAGACAGTGATATTTGCAAATTTCAGTGCGGCCATACATTTCAAAGATGGCGACACAAGTGCTTCACGTAGGAACCTCCGGGTCAGACCAGAATTTCGTGTTGGATACTGCTTAATATCCAAACCCGTCGACACAGCGATACTGCAGGACGTCTTATCGAAACCACAGTTAGGTTTTAGAGAGTGTAGGACAATTGTGATAAGTAGCCAAGCCAAGAATATCAGACAACATCGATAGCCTGCCATTATTGCACGGTGACTCTGTTATTACCCCAATCACTGCAGATGCTCCACATCTTTTGTTCGGTAAATGTCTTTTGCCAGCGAAAAGCACCGTGTAGTCAGTCTGTTAGACTGCCAACTTCAACCCGGGATAATCGGTCACTAGTAAGAGGGGAATTGGTCCAAAGGAAAAAAGAGGGGGAGGATTGAGCGTATCCGCAACATTCCTTCCCCCCCCCCCCCGGGCGGGAGTGTTGCGGATACTAATCCATACTAACCCCCTTCTAACCCATGCCTGTAACCTGTTACACAACTTGTTGGAAACAAGAATTATTGCAGGACCACTTTTACGACCAAACTAGTTGATTATCTTCTTTGTTTGTTTGCTCCTTTCCCACCTTTTTTTTTCCCGCGCGTAACCTTGAGTGAAGAAGAGGGGGGTGTGTGTTGGTCGAGAAGTAATTTTGGACCACCCCTTCCCTCCCCCTCTCTCCCCAAATGAAACATTTTTGTAACCACCCCTGAGATCAACATATGTATAATAGAACAAATTGAAGGAGGCTTACGCGTGAAACACTTAGCGGCCACCGTCCGATTTCCAGGTTGTCCATTTGGTGAACTCAGGAGAGCTCTCCACACGGCTCCGAACGCCCCTCGTCCAATGACCTCTTGTAGCAGGACACGGTCAACTGCAACCTCCCACGCATCTGCCTTTGCATTCATCTTTATCTGGCTCCATCTTAATTGCCTGCTCTTGGTCAGGACTAAATATGGGAAGTCAACATTGTATACTTTCAGGTTCAAAACAAAGAAAAGTGATGAAAAGAAAAGAGAAATCAGAGGGTAAAAGATTGATTTGCAAGGATAACATGATTGGCGAGATAATCTCTCCTGCCGATAGTGAGAAAACAATGTTTTTACTAAACCAAGAACAAAAATTATAACAAAACATATTAGTAATTATTGTTATTTAAATACACTTTGTCGATCGGATGAAGTTGAAATCAAACGAGAAACAATTGGTTTTTAAATCAGAAAATTGTATGTGCATTTCAATTTTTTTAAAGTACTAAATCTATGGATAAATCTAACCGAAAATAGATGGAAGATAATAACGAGATAAAAAAATTAAACAAAGGAACTAATGAAGCTGATTCTAACAACACTTGATGAATGTTAATAATGCATCATAAGCACGATAAAAGTAAAGTCACTGCGATATGATTTTTGTTATCGTCATCATGCAATGGGGAATTTTTTTTCGGGATAAATTTGATGAATAAAAGATAAAATGGTTGACTTACAGAGCCATAGCTGCAATTCCAAATAATGAGTTAAAGGGCGTAAAGAAGGTAAAACTTTGCATTAATTGATTAAATCGAATATTCTAATCAAATTTCTGTGTAATGGCAGCATAATTTGAATTTGCACTAATTAAGAGGGACGTGATATTTGCTGAATTTATAATTAATTTCAAAACACCGTTAAAAATAATGGAAATGATAATGATGATACCATATACATATGTGAAAAAACTCTGCAATTAGCATTTTTTGGCGGCACGCGAGTAATTCTTATAAAAATATCTCTACTCCTAGACTATTTGCTCAGTGTTTCCCACCCCCCCTCAGTAGACTTTTCAAATAAGATTAAACATTTCCTTCTTTTTACTTGAAACAAAGAAATCTGAAATAACACAGAAAATGGACGTCACCTGTCCGACGCTTGCAGAAATACCAGGCAATTAGCAAAATGACAATCGCTGCCGCCACTGATCCACCAATGTAATACCACAAAGTGTTGAAACTTTGCATAGCTCGTGGCACTTGCTTAGCTAATTGTGTCAGATAAATATGTGGCCATTAGAAAAATCTCGACGGTCGTAAAAAGTACTTATAAAATTCCGGTTGTTTGGAATAGCTTTGGAATAGCTTGGCATACTGTTTAACTCATGATTTACACCTGCTCTTAAAGAGGAAATACCTGAATTTCACAGAGCGATGCAACGTAATTTCATGTAAATGGGTAAGGTGACCCATATTTGTTCCGTCTTTAACTGAAAAATAGTTTTAATCTATTTGCAAATATATATTTTAATCGGTAAAGTCGTATGTTTTTTAAGACACAACGGTAACACCAGCTTACCTTTGAAGTTTATTTTAACAAAGGAACGAGCAACAAAACCGATCTTGTTACGTGCCTCGCAAAAATACACACCACTGTCCTCCTTCACAACTTCAGTCATATTAAGTTAACTCTTTTTGTCATCGAATCGTGTATTAATCTTTGCTCTTTCGGGTGGTGAGTCTCCATCTTTTTTTCCAAGTTACATTTCTTGTTTCACTAATGAAAATTTATCATAACATCATGACTCCTTAGTTCCTTGGTCTTCGATATTTTAAAGGAAATGGATGAAAAGAGAGAAAAAATAGGTCTATTTAAATTTGGCTTAAACTTTAAAAACAAACGCTTTGTTAAGTTACAAGTTTGATAAATGACGTAAACAACAATATAGAGTTTACCTGTCACATCGATCCAGAAGGAAGTTTTTGCTTCACCATAATAATTTTTAGCAGTACATTCATAATTGCCTTTATCTTTAAGCGTCGCTTGTCTTATAACCAGGGTGTTGTTTCTACTAATTAGCACTCCATCCCTGGTCCAGTTGACAGATACTGGTGGATCTCCTCTCAAATAACACTCTTTTGTAAATGTGGAGTTAAATGCAATGGTGAGATTTCTGAACTCGTTACTAACACGGGGTGGAACTGCAAAGTAAGCATGTAAACACAAATTACAAAATTAGAAGTCACCCCAACCCCCCCCCGCTCGCATAAAGAAAACAAAATAATAAAAAGAATAAATAACAATTAAAATGAAGAAGAAGAACATGATGAAAATGAACCACTTTTTGATCATATCAAACAAATGCTTCCAAAAGCCATGTCAGTCAGGTTATATTAATAATTTAACTATGAAATCATCAAATTTTTAGAGCGGGAACAAAGGAGCAATTGTAAAGATTTTCCAGTTCTTCGCAATAAATAACTAATGAGGCGGTCTGGAAAATTATTCATTCAGGACCTGGTCCTCACTGGTGGACCAGTCGCAGGTAATAGCTGAAAGCCCTTGCATTTTTTTCATTTTTCTGATAGTTTTCTGCAATCACCTTACCCTTAGCTCAGACCCAGACCCAGACCCAGACCCAGACCCCTAAATGTAGAGTCGGGCCCACTGACTATTGTTCCGCACTCCGTAGACCTATCAGATGCATGATTGATTTATAATACGGTTGTGAGCTTTACGAACACACCCTTTACAGAAATGTTAACGTCTTTGTTGAAAAAGCCTGCTGCATTCTCTGCCTTACAAGTGTACCACCCTTCGTCCTCCTTTGTTATCTCGGGAAAGAAGAGAGACAAACTATTTCCTTGCAATGTACTATTCTTGAGCCAGGTGATCTGAGGTTCAGGGCGACCCGCCACAACTTCACACGTCAAGTTCACACTGTTTCCTTCTATGATGAGATTGCGTGCTCCAGAAATAACCACTTCAGGTCGAACTAAGAGGTAAATAAATGACATGTCCTTGGAAAATAGGAGGTATTCCAGTATCATTTACACTGATCACATTAGACACCGTAAATAAACGAACATTTGATAATGACACTAGCGCTTTATATGAAGTATAATCGTTTCTCAGATCTCGGACCTTTCGAACTTCGTATTGAGGTCTACATACTCCTATGATCTCGGACAAAATTACGAAAGACAGAAGGCGCAACCATGCATGGGGAGTATGGTCTCCGCCGTTATTGCTGATCTCCACATAGAGAGTTATAGGAGCAATCGGTATCCTACCAGCGAAGGATCTGGAAACGCTATGTATATGACACATTCATAATCTTGGTTCGCGAACACGCTGATAGCTTGCTACAGCATTTGAAGAACCGGAAGCATTCTATTCACTTCACTGATGTTACAAATAGTAACAACACACTCGCCATTAATAGCACTGCAAAAAAACAAGAGCCCGTAGTTTGCAAGATTCCCTATGAGTACGCTAAAGTTTACATTAGCGGAAAGGCAGACCTATGCAAGTAAGGTTAAACGAGTAATAAGGCAGATCGAGAAACGACATGCTAAGACAAAGGCCTCTGCAGTTTCAAAAGACACCTGGTGACCACTTGCTCTGGACTGAAGTAGGGTACATTTATTGTGATCCTATCATTAGACACGCAGGGTAAAAGAGGCCATCCACAAGACTTCGCCTATTACAACATAAATTGGACATTGAGGTAGACATCCCAGAAACATGGATGCTGACCACAACAAAAAAAAAATAGGATAACTTTGCGACAGTACACTCCGAAAGAGCATTTTGTCAAAGCGTGCCAATCGAAGCCTGTGTGGGATTCCAGCCAATCACAGCCAAACAGAGAGTTTCATAAGGTCATGCATATCTACCGACCTTATAGTACGAAGACACAATATTCAGTCAAAAAGTCGCGATCCATATCCAAAGTGACTTCATGGCGAGACAAACGATTATACTGCATTCAGAAAGTGAATTTGTCACCACGACCAACCGAAGTCGATTTAAGCACATCAGTTTGAAAAGAAACTATAAACTTCATCAAAAGGGACTTACTTAGAGTTATGACGAGGAAACTACACTGTTGACAAATAACGTAAGTATAATTTTTTAACATGGCACCCTACTTTCAGACAACTAAAATCAACAAACGTATTCACGATAAAATGTCGCCTCACATGGCTGCGGATATGAACAGCGAAAAAGTTTTAAAATTGAGTAAATGAAATTAATCACATTTGAAGAACTGATATTATGACTTTCTATATATTATCTCATTGGTCACTCACTTCTAACTGACACTCGTATGTTTTTATATTTGCTTGTGACCCTCTGTGGTCCTTTAGTTTGTTTCATGGTACAGGTGAATGTTCCATCGTCTTCAGGCTTTACATAACCAATACGCAGGCTGCCGTCGGATACTTGAGTGAATCGTATCGGATATAAGGACTTTCCTCCTTTCTTACTCCAAGAAATCTGTGGACTTGGTGTTCCATCAGCACTACAGCTTATAATGCCAGACGTGTACGCAGTTAAAGTTTGTTGGTCCAACGTCTTCTCAGTAAATCTTGCTGTTGAAAGGAGTAATGAAAAGCACTAATATTATAGCTACACTTTTGAAAGGTCAGAAGTGTACTTGTCTTACATGACATTGTCCTGCATATTAAGCCTATTTCTACAAGATAAAAATATGTGTTTTCATACCATTAATGTAGACAATGTAATATTGAACATGTTCCAATCTCTGGCATTCATATATTCCTCCATCAGACAGTTGCACGTCATCAATGACCAGATCACCATTGTCTTCAGCCCTGATCCTTTGAGAAGAAGAGTTTGTTATTTCAAGCTTTCGCCTATTAATGACCCATCTAGCATGATTGGTGTTATTGTGTATAGAACAATGAAGCCTTTCTGTGCTACCAATCTCAAAATAGAGTTCCTCTCTTTTCAACACTTTCTTGTTCTCTGCAACAAAAAAAAAATGGTTCAATTTAGATGTTGTCAAAATAAGTAAAATTTTTTTGTAATTAACACTACAAGGGATACAAAAGATGCATATCTTTACCTGTCCTAATGCTTACATTGAGAAATGTTTTGAACTTTGTCGTACTCAAAACTAAGTTACATTACTCCAAACAAAATCATGTTAGCCGTTATTAAAGTAATGTAACCTTTGAACAGAATAATATTGCATCCAAAGAAGTTATGAAACCCATTAAAAAAAAAGGTAACCTTTAACTGAAGTCAGATAATCTTATAAGCAGTCATATTACCTTCTTGACAGTCATGTACACCTTAGCTAACGTTATTCCACCTCAAGACCAAACTGAATCATCTATAAGAAGGGTAAATTTCTTAAGAAACTGTGGTGCTGCGTCTGTGGGGAAGTATAGCACCCGCTCTGACGAAGGGCTAACGTTTGAATTTCAGCTCTGAAACTCTTTACGGAGGCAAATTTATATTATCAACTAAGTTGAAGAAATCGAAATCATCTAAGTCATTTTAAGCCAATTCATGTCACCCTAAACCAAGTCATGTCATCCCCAGTCAAAGTCATGTCACTATCTAAAGCGTAAAATCTGCGAACAGATATATGCTTGTCCGCGAGTCGTACTTTACCAGAATGTTTTTAGAAATGGTCTTCTGGTCATCTGTGTATCTCAATTTACTCTGATTTTCCTCCACTTTAGAAGGTCAATGGGAAGAAAAAGACAACCACGAAAACCAGAATCACTAGTCAGGCCTAAACATTTAGTTGCTTACTTGGTTGACACAACGCTTGAGAACCCTCGCCATCCGATTGACATTGAAGTGGAATATTTAACTTTCCATCAACGCGATCGCATGATGCAAGTTCTGACTCCTCTCCGGTGCAAGAGACATCAGACATTGCAAAAGGTATTCCCTCATCCTTTACTTCTGACCCAATAAATTCCGCCAAAGCCTCTTCAAAGCCAAGTTGACGACAAATAACTTTGACATCACTGAAATCCCACCCATTCTTGCATATCTTCGCCCATTTCCCCTTGTAAAATACTTCCACTCTTCCTCCATACTCCACATTTGCGCCTTTCAAGCGAACAGGAACTTATGAAATAACAAAAAGTCGAATTTATAAGAATGGAAAACACTTATTATCAAGAAACAAGAATGCCTATAAATCACAAAATGATGAATAGTTCATACCAGTCTAAGTGTTTTGTTTAAGTGAAATTCTAGGTGCAAATTATCGTTTGTTGTCAGATGTGAATCACGATGTTTTCATAGTTTCCCTGCTGCGATGTTTCCGACGGACCTCTTTTACATTGCTTCGTGACTGTGCTTCAAATTGTAAAACTCATCATTTACCCTAAAATAAGACAAACCAGATGTTTTTGGGAAAAATTTTAAACATTTAAGACGTGTTTTCTTAGCCGGCTTAAAACGTTTTCTTTCAGAGAACACAATGGGGTGATTTATATTTTAAGCTAGAACGTCATTTTTAAAGCATTTCTCAAGGAAAAATCGAGAAAAAGACGTTTAGTTCAGTATAAGTAGAGTAAAAAATTGTGAAATTCCCCAATTGCACGAAAGAGAGAGAAAAGGGAAACTAGAAGGATGCAATAGTTTCAAGGAAACTTAATGGAGGGTTTGGAGGTTGTGAAGTTCATGAAACTCAAATGCATGACTGCGCAAACGTCTTAGGATGTAAACAGTAGAAACAATTTTTAGCGTTAGAAACCTTTTTAGAACCAAAAAGATACCCGAAGACGAACAATCATTGTTCTCGGGAAAGTTTTCATCTCTGGAGTGTGAGTGAATCTATCAAGTTACCATCTTTGGAAATTATGTGGATATTACATGAGTGCAGTTCATGATTACCTTCGCAGACTTGTTGTTTCTTTACCACGTTCTTTTGACATGTGGTCGGAATTGTACAGTTGTAGTGGGTGGACATTGAAGCATTGCTACGTTCTGCGTACCATGTGTCATTAGCATAAACACCGTTGTTATAGTAGCCCATGGCCATGCAGACTGAATTTTTATCTGCTTCATCCCATTGACTGGTACAAAGCGTTTGCCAGCTGCTATTTGAGAATATCTCCATTGTACCGACAGATGGGTTCCCCTTTGTTTCAAAACGCAGGGGAAATCCTTCAAAATATTCAGCAAAAAAAACTGATAAATAAGGATAAAAATAAACAGCGTGGACTACTTCAGCTTGTGTAAATTCTTGTGTTGATGATGTTCCCATATAATTACCCAGTAACAGAGGTCCTAACATTGTTGAAAAATTTCTTTTCAGTTTTGTGGTGGAAGAATTTCCTGTGTAGCTAACTTGATTTTCTTTACCAGAAAGTCAATGCCAAAACGTTATTTAATATCTGAGACCCTCGCATTATTAAACATGTTTCTTGTCAAATTAATAAAGGGGGCAAGTTTCTAAGGAAACTGTGGTGCTGCGTCGGTGGGAGAGTAGAGCAGGTAATTTAGTGTTAACAACTGAGTTGAAAACGTAAATTGACCACCGTCATTGGCCAAGAATAAAATAGCTGACGTTTAGAGCTCTAGCCCCTCATTAGAGCGATTGGAGGAATGGTGGGTTGCGTGTGGGTTTATATGCAGCAAATGGAGCTACGCTATTGGTGGGAATATGGTGACGAGAAAACAGGAATAAATTAGTTGAATGAAAAGCGCTCGTGGACACCGTTGGGATTAAGAGTGCCGATTTGGAATATAAATTTTTGTTCTAGTATTTTGCGACTTTCCAAACTGCCTAGATGTAAGGAAAGGCCGCAGACCGCCATATGTTGTTTAGAATGATTAGGGAGATTTAAGTGTTCAGCGACTGGTTTGGATGCGTCCTTGTCATTTCTTTCCACGTCGCGAAGGTGTTCTCGGAATCGGTCACCTATTCGTCTAACTGTTTCACCAATGTATAACTTATTGCAATAAGTGCAAGTTATGCAGTAAATGACGTTGGCGGAGGTACACGTAAAGTGATCAGTGATCTAAATTGATCTCTTGGGTCCTGATATTTTCTCTACGTTATGAATGAAAGGACAAGTTTTGCATCGTGAGTGAGCGCATTTGAAAGTTCCAGATTGGTCATTGGTTTGAAATGAACATCTGACCAAATAGTTTCCTATGTTTTTGTCACGTTTGAATGAAATAAGTGGGGGTTGCGAAAAGATAGCATCAGTCTTTGAATCGTTTTGGAGTAATTTAAAGTTTTTAAAAATGATAGATTTAACCGCGTGGTTGTGAGGGTGAAATGTGAGAGTGGATGGAATGCAGTCCGCAGTGTTTTCCTTCTCAGTCGTTTGTGGTGCTGACTGTCGATCAATTTGTTGGGCACGGTGATGGACCGCTTGAACGACAGAAACAGGATAGCCACGTTTATCGAAAAACTGTCGGAAAAATTAGAGTCGTCACTACATAAACAACGAAGTCTGAGAAACTGTGAAAAGGGTATGTAATTCTTAACGTGCGATAGATGTGAAGATAAATACAACAAGTAACTGTGTGAATCTGTAGGTTTGTAGTAAACACTAGTGCATAAATCGTTGTCGTCAATTGAAATTTTGATGTCTAGACGTCATGCTGCATATAAAGCCACAAACAACCCACAATTCCTCAAATCGCTCTGACGAAGGGCTAACGCTCGAAACGTCAGCTTTTTTACTCTTTATGGTGGCCAATTTACGTTTTCAACTCATTTGTTAACGCTAAATTAACTGCTCTTTCAAAAAGAGCATGGTGTATTCCGTATATGTACAGATTTGCAATTATGAAGGATTTCTGGCTTATAATGACTCTTAATAATTTGTGCATTTCACATACTTGGCCTGAATAATTATGTGATTAAAGTTCAAACTCAGAAGTTCCGTTCTTTTGTTTTTGTTCTAACTGTTATTCCTGTATTTGTTTATTTTTGTTTCAACAAAGAAGTTTTTAGCCACTGAAATTAAAAAAGCTGCAATTTTTATGTTACCTTCAAGGCAACTGGACATGTTGCTACATCCTCTCAGGAGTGCACCGGTCCCATCGCAGTGTTTCCCAGCATATGCTGGTTCCGGATTGGTGCATTCTCTCTTTCTTGTTTGTATACCACCAACTGCCTTAGTACAGTTACTCCAGGAGTTCCACTCACTCCAGCCACCATCCACCACTAACAATGTTGTAAGCAAAAACATTTGATAAACAACCATAGACGACATGTTTGGATCATTTAACAAAATATGCAAGACAGTGCTGCAGTCTATATTTCTACCTTTCTCTATAATTACTTTGAATTTTCAAGCTAACATTTGGTTATGGTAAGCTCATTAATTTAGTATTTAGCGATGCTGTAGGGTTTGCAATGAACTTATCGAGATACGCTTGTAAGTGCAAAAATATAATTTGAAGGTGATAATGCGACGCGACCACAAACGCCACATGGGAGTCCGTGCCGGTCTGTCTCTACCTTTATTCTCATCTTGATAGTTTCCAAACAGACCCCGTCTGTCTGGAAACTGCAAGACGGTTGCAAGAGAGAAGTCAGACCGCAACAAGGCTATTACCACACTGTAGCCAAGCTGCAACACAACAGAGGTAGGACTTCTGACACCCCGAAGCAAAACTAGGGAAGGATTGGTAAAAAAAAGCACCATAAGAAGTTTCTGTCACCCACCCCTTTTTTTAAGACATGGAAAAGGAGAACAGGATGTCTGACTTCTCTCTTGTCAAAACGTCTGACTTCTCTCTTGCTACTGTCTTGCAGTAGAAAGACAGTACCAAGAGAGAGATCAAACTGCAACAAGGTTATCACTACACTGTAGCCAAGCTGCAACACATCAGAGGTAGGACTTCTGACACCCCGAAGCAAAACTAGGGAAGGATTAATAAAAAAAAAAATAAAGAAAACCATAAGCAGTTTCTGTCATCCTCCCTTTTTTAAGACATGCAAAAGGATAACTGGATATCATGACTGCAAAGCAAGGTTACCTGTCAGAGAAGGAATACGCATCAAGGAAAATTTGTCTTTAAGAATATTTAAGGAACTTAGCTTCCGCTAAAGAAGACATGCAGACAAGCCTTTTACAGGAATAACAGGCTCGATAATTATAGCAATTCCTTTGAAAAACACCATGACACGGAGGAGAGAGAGGGAAGGAGGAGAAAGAAAGGGTTGTGGCCATGACAATGGCAACTGAGTAGCAGTTGAATGAAATCTGCTGTTTTAGATATCTATCAGCAGCATCGAATAAAAGTTAAAAGAATGTTACAACAACAGAACAATTAGATCTTTATTGTTACAATCAATAACCACATGACCTAACACCACAGAAAAATAAACAGAATTTCCAACACACACTTAACATGAAAGACAAATATCAACAATGTCATAGAATTTGACTGTACAGCACCGTAAATGATAACCCTATGAATTAACATGCATATTTCGTTTTCTCTTAATTTACCAAATTGTTACCCCATCCAGTCATATTATAATTACATTTATCATCATCATTTATAACAAAGCAACAACAAAAAAAATTTTACTCCACATGCAACAACACCACATATCACACCAGTAACAAAACAATGACGCTAACTATGACTTTTCTGTGTAACAACTTTCTCCATCACAGACACCATGCATAACCCTTTCAGCAACACCAGATATTATTAGAGTCATATGCAAAACAATATCTTTACTAATTCAACTGGTATAACTAGTAATAAAGATTTGCAAACAACATATGCTGCACATATTTTATGTCCATTACATCATCTACATGTACACTCAGAATCTTTGGTCCAATTTTATGAATGGTAAGAAAATTGAATGAAACAAAAATGTCTTCAAAAGGGAGTAAACAGACAAAGAGCAATATGTAATCATGCTGTTAAATAAACCATTGCTTGAATGAAAAGGGTCAGTAGTTGCAAAGATACAGCGTACTGAAGATGACTGAACGGTAAAATATGAGTCTAAATACGAAATGATAAAGATCTTTCTCGCACTAAAGCTAAATTAGTTTGCCAGGTACAATCAATAAGTGGTTTAAATGTATGGATAGAATGATGCAATCTGTTTTGCTCCTTCAGAATTTTATTTGTACGTGTCATCTATCCTGCTCTAACTTTTTATACATGTGCAATTAGCAAGGAAAAAAGGGCAGTCAAGTGACAACACCTAAATCTCTAATGTGTATATTACATTATTAAATCTGATGATTTCTCTTCAAATATACAGAAATATATTAGGATCATTTGTTACAAAACTCATTTTTTGCCATAGACACTAATCAATAAGTCCATAGTCAAGTGCAGACTGCAGGCACAACACAAAGAACTTTAGCAGTTTCTCCAGACTTTACATTTAGCCTGGTTATTAGTTGGTCTTCTGCAGAATTAGTCTAGTGAAAAAGAGAAGTTGTGTTAGTATCAATTACTTTACATTATACATCAAGTGTACATCAACAACTCCCATCTCTTGCTGTAAACCTGTTTACTAACCTGTAAGTACGAACCTAGGCCAAACGACAGAAAATTAAAGACTACTAAAACAGTCGATTTCGACAATACTCAGCTTTGAAAGGAAGACAAACTTTATTAAGAGCGGCATTCCCCTTGTATTCCTCACCTGTAACATATTTCACAGTTTCGTTTTCCCAAACAAGATGTCACACTAAGCCTTGTTTACTTAAGCATTTATCTCAACTGACCTTATTTCTTAGTAAACACGGGTTTGATTCAAAAGGACATTTGCTGTAACAGGAAGATAAAGTACATCAGTCTCTACAGCTATTTCCACATCGCGCCGGGCATAATCTACGATAGAGAAGTAAAAGAAATAAACAACAAGCTCAACAAGTTTAGTGTTCTAGCTTTCACAGAGAGGCAAAGAAAAAGGGTTAACTACGAACTCTCAGCTCGTACGAACAAACACGTAAATAGACAACCGCTCAAAGGAAAGCACTCATTATAAAATTCAATGATAAAATAGCCAACTTATGGAATGGGATTTCTGACCTTAAAGAGCTTATTCATACACTTAGAAATAAAAGAGATGAAAAATATAAGTGTTTGTAAAGCAGTATGCTATCTAGATTAACGAAGAATAAATACACGGGCAGCCGTGATGATTTTTAATCACACCCCAGAGTGCGCGTTGGTACCGGAACTTTAGAATGTGATGTAATCATGCGCGAGTAACGCAACGGTGACATGACACCCCCCCTTGGCAAAAAAAATTATATATACAAATACAAACAAATAATGTATGTGACATCCAAGACAAAATTAATGTGACTCATTGTTCAAAAATAAAAAGATAATAACATGAACAAGAAGAAAAATGCTCCATAAGCGAGGCACTGAGGATATGGAGTGCTCTTGTGAGGTTGTACTTTGTTAGCCCACTTTCTAATGAAGTTCGTTGTCATTAAACTTATTTGGCGTTCGGGGCATTGCCTGTCATACAACGTAATGGGACGCCGTGGCCGGCAAAGTGGGCTATGGTGAGCACGACGATGGTGGTGGATTGAGTGTTTATCAGCTGGTCCAATTCATAGAAATCACTGTAATGGTCTACGGTGACTAGGTACTGCTTCTGTTGGAACTCAAGTATATCTTGCGGGATGAACTGCCAAGGTCGTGTAGGGACAGGATGGGATAGTATAGGCTCAGTGGCAGCTTGCTTTCCATACTAGGGCATGGCTGGCAATATGCATGTTGGGCCAGAAAATTGCATCTCGAGCGAAACGAAGGCAGTGTTCTGCTCCTCCATGGCAGTGGTGGATTTTGCTCAGCATGCTTGGTCTGAGAGAGGTAGGGACGATGGCGGGAGTAGAGTTAAGAAGAATACTATTTGCAATGCTGAGTTCTTCACGAAAGTGCCAGAGTGCTTGGAGTTGATGGTGTGGGAGCTTCTTAGCAGGTGGCCAACCGTGGAGGGTGTAATGCTGCAGCAAGTGCATGTCAGGGCATAATGATGTGGCACCGCATAGTTGCTCGCAAATGGTATCGGTGAGGGCCGGTGAGGTGAGGTCCAAGCGAGCAAGATGAACGTGAAACACATGGATGGTGTCTGGCATGGATGGGTTGAAGGCTTCGTCTTGACAGGAGGCTCTGGATAGGGTGTCTGCAAGAAAGAACCTTTTCTGTACACAACAGTAAAGTTGTGACGCTGTAGGAAAAGCGTCATCTTCTACAGCTGTTTAGGCGATGAGCGAGGTCCTTCTTGAAGATTGGCTGAAGTGGTTGGTGGTCTATATGGACTCTGTGTTGGATTTTCCCAAAAGCCATTACCGGAATTTTTTGAAGGCTGCGACAATAGCCAGGCGCTCTTTTTCGAGTTGCGCATAGCGCTGCTCGGTAGTGGTTAGGCCTTCTGCTGTACGCAGTGGGTCGTAGAGAAGACTTGTCAAGGGCACTGCTATTGTGTAGTATGATAGGCTGTAAGAGAGAAGCTCCCAGGCTATAGTCTGAGGCGTCCACTCGAAGGATCAGAGGCGTAGTTACGTCGAAGTATGCCAGTCATGCTGCAGAGGTGGCTAGGACTTGGCAAAGGCTTGCTGGTGCCTTAGATCATAGGATTGGTGAGGTTGTATAGGGGTTGGGTGACGCTGCTAAGTTGGGGACAGAATTTGGCCAGGTAATTAATAGCCCCTATGAATCGGGACACTGCTTCCTTGTCGGTTGGAGTGGGCATGGCAATTATTGCTTTGACCGTGACAGGGTTGGGCTGGAAGCCATCCGTATTGGTAACATGGCTCATGAAGATGGCTTTGCGAACAAGTAATTTCATCTTGTTGACATGAAGCTTGACATGACATTGTACAAATTCCTTAAGTACGTTGATGAGGTTACGTTCGTGGTCAATTCTGGCTTCCGTGTTATTGGCAACGCAGCCAGGGATTAAGATTTCGTCACAGCACTGATGTCTGGGAGGCCAGTACCATATGAATTCGGCGCTGCCATTCTTTGGATGCAGAGAATAATATCCTCGTATTATGCCAAATGGTGGCCTAGTCCATCTGTAGCGACCCCATGGTCTAAACGTTGTGGTCATTAAAGATGATCTTAAGGACAGGGGAATGTTTTGAAAGGCCTCTTGGATATCTATTACCGACATATATTGCATTCCATGCAGCTTGTGCAGGTACTTTGGACATCGAATGGCTTTGTCGAGGGTCTGAGAAGGGTTTAAGCTGATCCGCGTTATTCCTGGTTTGGTGGGAGTTGGTTCTCGCTCTAATACAACCGTGTTAGATATCCAGTCTGTCCGTTGAGATACCCTTTTCAGCTGGCCAGTGGCTTCATATGCATCCAGGGCCACTTTGATTGAAATGGGCTCGCGGTAAATGGGGGCATGATGGGTTTAACATCTAGAAAGGTTGAAATCGATGGATGGGCCGAGGAAGCCCAGACCTTAAAAGAGTGAGGTCCAATTCTCGGAAATGGATTCCAGAGTTCAAGTCCCAAGTGTAGGCCAGACTCGCATTGACGTATCTGGGGGTGGTGGAAGTGGCCCAGTTTCTGATTCATGGTGGCTGGCAGGTTCAGTCCGCAGTGGCTGGGAAGGGTTGCTGGTAAAATATTTCCTTATGAAGTCCACATGTAGAGTTAGTGCACCAAGTGCTATGCTCGCCTCTGTACTGAGTAAGGCTAGTTGGTCATTGTTAATGACTTGAAGGGTGAGGTTGCTCGTGGATTTACCTTTACTGGCTTGGAGGGTAACTTGACTAATGGGTTTGATTGATGGACTGGCATAGGGTAGTATCACCGTTTTGGACTGTAGAATTTTGGCCCAGGGCATGCTGGAGAGGTGGCAGGATAGAAGGGTGTTGCACGAAGCTGCCAAATCTATTGGGAAAGGAATTTGCGCCCTGCATTTTGAGTCTGGGTCCTCCAAAAGGGGCAGGACGAAATGGCCTTTGTCAGAGGGTGGGGCCGTCGTAGGGACACCAGTGTGTGGGGGTGCAAGCGAGGGTGAAGCAATTCTTATACTGTATGCCTTCCTCGAGAAGGGTGTAGGAGTGCTTTTCGTGTTCCACCACTCTCATGTGTTCCCGTCTGGAAGGCAGGTCTGAAGTTTCGGTTGTCTTTGGCAGCCTGTTGACAGACGCCTGCGAATTGATAACTTTTGTGACAACAGTTGCAAATCTGAGATGAAGCTGGGCATATGTCACAGGAGTGTTGCTGCTTGCTGCCACAGAAAAAACAGGATCTATTAGGGTAGGTTCCAGGTCTTGATCTGCCCGGAGGTTTTTTGACCAATTTGTGCGCTGTCGTGAAAGTGGTAGAGTGAGTGAGTGAAACTGTTCTTCTGTGGCGGGCTTGGAAGAAAGCTTGTTTGTATGTTGTGCCACCTTAAACGATATGGCTTGACTCACCACGATAGCTAGGGTGGAAGGGGTATCCTCCGATTTTCGTTGGCCATCGCATTAAAAAATATATCTTCTCGGAAGCGATTGAAGGATTTGTTGAGATCAAAGAGAAACTTATCCCTCATAAATTCTTCCACGTTCATGCCAAAAGATCAGCGCCAACGGCAGCAGTACGCACAGCGGTTTCTCACGGTGAAATGGAGGTTTGGTCTGCTTGTGATATTTTTGCTCAGAAGTGGTACCGGTCTTGGATCAAACTAATTGCACCAACGTAATGTTCTCTGATATTTTGAAGCCAAACCCAGGGTTTTTCCAGCGTTGTTTTTCGGTATCTTGGAAGCGATTTCGTCATCCAAAGTGTTCCATTTTGTTGCAGGAATTGCTAACTTGAAGGGTCTCTTAGCGGCAATGAAATGGTCCGCAGTCTCGGTGAGTCTGCTTTTAGCGGGATTTCTGTAACTTTCTAGTAGACATTAATCATGAAATCTGGTCTCCCAGTGCTTCGGTATGGCACAATTGTGAAATTTTGATGAAGGTTTGAGATGTTGCAGAAGAAGCTATTCAATTGTGCAGTTGTGTCTACGAGAAGCTGGCTTGCAGTAAAAACCGGTCCTGACACCATGTTAAGCAGTATACTTTCTAGATTGACGAAGAATAAACACACGGGTAGCCATGATGAACTAGTTTATTCACACCTCCTGAGTACGTGTTGATACGGGAACTTGAGAATGCGATGTAATCATTCGTGAGTGATGCAATGGTAACATGACATGTTCTCTTACTCTAAAAAAGCTGGCTTTAACAACAGCGGAAGCAGAACAAAAAGCATACGACGCAAAGAGCGTAGACTCTCTTTAAACTATAAGCTTTCAGCCAAAGAAAGGGAGACAAATAAAACATTCCAAAAAGATCTCTCAAACTATCATATTTCTGACCGTTAAGTCAGCGTGCTATCAAAGGGCCTCAAATTCATCCCAACACCCGTGACCAACCAATGTGAAATTAGCTCACAATTGTTGCGAGATTTTGTACAACTCGCAAGACGAATGCGCCTTCAATACATCTTTCATGGACAAAACAAAGAGCCACTTCCGTTTCATGTTAAATCAAACTGGATGCCACCGGTTCAGCCTTCAATTGCCCGTTAGAGCTACTTGGAAAATGTAAAAACACAACTAGCGGCGATTACTGTAACTAAGCCAAAAAATAATTTGTCACGCAATGAGGTAATGGCCTTAAAAGACAAATGGTATATTTCTAAGAGCAATTCTAATGATCTTTTGACTGAGAAAAGGGCTATAGGAGGAGCGGTGGACTAAAGTCCATTGTCAAAATACATCTCCCTATTCACTAGATCCACAAACATCAATCTCCAGTGGTTGGGCAGGTAGATTTGCATCAATATTTGCTGGAGGTCATTGACTTGTTTCAGCTGCTCTACATTTTCTCTCAACTTCCGCTTTTGGAGTTATTTGTCACTTGACCTCATCCAATTATAGAACTGACTTGGAAAGAAGACAGTGAAACCCTTTCCAATTTCTCTTGCTTTGTCTAGAGACTTGCTTTTGCAAATATCTACGACAAAACTGTCAATGTAACGCTCCTCAACCAGATCCGAAAATGAGGTGGAATCGAGGTTCTTTGTACCATGCTCCAGTATTGGTTGACTGGCTGAAACATTCCAAAGGGTATTTTGCAACTGTACAAGATCTTTAGGGCTGCATTTCATCTGGAAGAGCCATTTAGCCTCTTCAGATACTTTGTGGTGGGTGTCTACTATAGCACAGAAACACCACAAGATAGATAAGGCATTTTCAGAGAACTGCCCAATACCCTCAATCTTGATGCCACAAGGATTCTTACCAGCTTTTCGTTCATTGTACAATTTGGTGAGCCCTCATCACCTTCACAAGGACACTCTGCTACAGAGAAGGAATCTGAAAAGGCCAGCTCCTCATAAAATGGGTTTAGTACAGAGGGAGATCTTGATGGTAGTGGAGGAATGAGGCTGTAAAGGGCAGCTACTTCAGCTCTTATTGTGGCCTTAGCCATTGCAGCTCTAAGTGCACTTTACTATGGCACTGTAGGATCATTATCATCTCCAATAACCACAGAAGTGTCACTAACTGGCCGAATTTTTCCTCCCTTTTTTTCCTTTTTCTTGCCTGGCTCAAGGCAAATTTATTTTGACAGACTCTCCCTGGATTCAATCACACAATCAGATATTCCAATGACTCTTGAACTACTATAGTACATACGATAAATGCTGAGGCTGAGGTTCAAAAGGTGAAACGTATTTCATGATGTGCTCTTCAAAGAAAGTAACATAGCTAAGAATAACATTTCTTGCAGCTCCAGGACTTTCCATATAATACTAGGTCACTTTCTTAAGGGGCAGTGATCTTTCTACTGTCTTCAACATTCTGTAGAACTGTCCTTTCAGTAGACCCTGAAGAATAATCATTTGTAGAATATTCATTTGTGAGTTTGGAGGAATGTAAATGTAAATTTTATCAGGTGTCTCACCTTGCGATGTTGGCTTTTGACCTTACACAATCTAAACAGGTTTCATCTGCATCAACTCCATGGCATGTGCAGGCCTCAATGAAAATATGTATTTAATTAAAATTCATTTCTTAGGTAATTTAATGCATTTTACCAATGGATATAAACATTCAATTCAACAAAATAAAATCATTGATAGCTGTTTATCACTACGGCCATGTAGTACCTCAAATTTGGCTTGATACCATTCTACTTTCAGAAAACTGAACTGATCATAAGTTGATGGAATAATTAAAAGCAAGGAAAATATCAAGAGAACTAATTACCCTTATTGCATCACAAAATGCACAAAATTCCACACTATATCCTTTCTCGCCAAGAAGGAAATCTTCATTATTTTTTGTTGAGAAGAAGCAGCAAGGCCTTGTAATCAAGAGTCACAGCAGAAACAGGAAATTTAAGAAAACAATTACAGAATATACCTTGATGTTCATAACACGAGACTTAACAGATAATAAAAAAATTGGGTCTCAGAAAAACTCACTTCTCCACATGATTTAACTTAATTTAAACAATGACTCAATGTTATTGTGTAATGAAGTAATACTAGGCTCTTTATGGAATGTTTTCTTTTCCTTTTTTCAATGAGTAACTCTGAATGTTCAATTCAACAGAAAGTTTTAGCTGCTTTACTTAATTAATTCCAAACTTTGTCATTTTGCAGTTTACTTTTCCCCTTAGCTTTCTATCTCTCCAATTAAAAGTCATGTGTAAAATAAATGTTGTACTTTTGCCATCAACCATATTCCATGTTTTTTGATGACATCTTTCTGATTATTGAAATTCTCAAGTAACTTTCTTGCGTAGCTTTAAATTTGACCAGATAAAAAAGGAGAGAAAAATTAAAAGAGAACACTTGCAAAAGCAACTTCATTAATGCAATCCCACTTATCTGATTATTCTACTATTTACAGCAAAAATGATGGCAATAATGTAAGTACACTGAGATCTTACTTTGAAGAGCCTTTAAAATTATTCAAAGTCTTCTCTTCAAAACCAGTAACATGCACTATTGTCTGCATGCACCAGCTTATGATCCAATACACATTTTTAAACTGTATTTCTTTTATTTTTTTAAATGATTAGAAATGAGGTTATAATTTTTGTTCACTGACTGTTTGAACTGACTTACTTAAATCACCGCTTACCTTTTCTCTTTACAGTTCCCAATTGCAAGGGGGTAAATAGACAATGCACTCTCAAAGCTTTTGTTTTTAAAATCAATAGGTGCCAGGCCTACAGCTACTTGGTCTTTACCTAAAGTAAACCAATACAAAGACACCTTTACTTAATCTGGCAGGGATTACAGTTTCATATTCAAGACTAATAAGTCTAAAAAAATTTACTCAAATGAGAACACACCTCCAAGAGGGCGTCCATTGAGTTTAATGTTAAACTCTTTGTCTTCTGAGTATGAATGGAAGTGTTGCTCCCTAATTGCCCAGACAAGAACAGAATTTAGATGCACATTCCAAGCATCAAAACTGCATCCTTGACCCTGGAAATCCTGAATGTTTTCTACACTGCAGAGAAGACTAGTTTCTTCAATGCTTTTATCTCATTTTTTGTGAGCAGTACAGGTGTGTCCTCAGTTCTCTGTAAAAAAAAATCAACCGAAAACAGGTTTAGATCAACTGTCACTTTATAAATATTAAAAAGGTTGACATCAGTTATGTTCAGAAATACATTTCAAAACAACCCACTAGGAGAAGTCTCAATAATTGCTTTATATATCATGTTCAGATTTTCAAGGCACAAAACTGAATGAATAAATGTAATTCTCCCCTCAGAAGGAATCATTTGAAAACTGGATACCTTACCTAAGGTGTAAGATGTAATTTAACTCATAAAAAAATCAATATGTTGTACGTCTCACCACGATGCACAAAATCATCCTCAAATAATGACTCCTCATGAAATTTGAAATAGAACTCTTATGAATTTTGTCAAATACAACCTTACCTGAGGTTTACATTGCTGGTAAGAAAAAGGATCACATGACCGACAGCTCATCGCGGTAGAAACAAAGCAATGAGAATAAAATAAATAATAAAATACTTAAATTTTTCATGCCCTCGGACTCAAAGTCCAATGTGGTGGAGTTCACCAGATTTACGATAACCATAAATCCCGTTCGTCGGGAATTTTTTTATTGCGAAGAAAACCAGTAGCTAGACCGAACGTGGACACAACGTGAACGACGTCGGGAATCCTGTCCATCTCCAGAACTCCAAACGATGATTTGACGGGCTGAAGTTCCCGCGCGGCGACACTTTGGATTTCGTCGGGAAATATCTTAAATACATCGCGTATGAAAAATTACGCAGAGGGACGCCACATACCTCTTTCAAAAGTAGATACCAATGCTTGGAAGGATCAAGTATGGCACTTGTAACCTTGTAAAAACTCTGAGCGGTAAAGTCAACCGGGGGCAAGGCGCACGTCGACAATCCGACTGCCTCCATGACTTCACTTCCAATGATTTAGAAATCGAAAAAATTGATGCTTTTCGATTTTGAAAATTTCGCCGAGGTTTAATATTAAAATATTAGTAAGAGTTTAACCACGATAGGTGGCTTAGTCGTGAGATCGCCCCGTCTTGTACGAAAACAATAACTTTGTAATGATCGGAAAGCGTGAACATTGATCGATGCACCAAGTGGCGTGAAAATAACGTTTGTTGCTGTTATGTGGCAAACTAAGCGAAAGAATACATAAATAATTGAAACAGAGACTTTTATAAATACGGCGCCCAGCAGGCATTGCCTCTTCTGTGAAAAGGGAAGGTCTTAAAAAGACTACATGATTAGAAACGTCATAATAATGAGGAAAAAGGCAGTATCAGATAGAACGTAGTTTTTTATTGAGCATTACGCATAGCAAATTTCCTAATGTTTCATTACTTCGATTTTCATTGTTAATAAATGACCCCATGTTAACTCGCACGCAATCGCGTATCTCTCGCGGATTCGTGGGCGCCAAGTCTGGTAATTACATTGTGGTGTAATTTATATGATGACTCCTTCTTCCCCAACCCTCGGCATCAGTTTACGATGCCTGCTGCGAACTCTTTTCTTGAGCAAAGCTCGTCATGTGGCAAACTAATTCAAACGATCATGATAGTCTATGATAGTTTCAACTATCAAAAACGTTTGATCACGAACTATCATGCACTATCCTCAACTATCATCAACGATAATGCAGTTTGGACATGTTCAAATTCGAGATGAAAGTTGATGATAGTTTCAGCCGTTTGAGCGAGCAGATAATAGTAAATAATAGTTTTTCGGCCAGCAGTTTTGCCAAAAACGGGTTCTAACAGTAAAACGTAGCTGCCAAATTTTCTCAGAATGTCTCTGTGCATTCTAATCATCTGGCAGGCTTCAGTGTCTTTAACTCGCAACTTCTTAACTTAAATTTGCGCACTATATTGGTCTTCAATTACGCGATCTCATTGCGTGATTTTTTCAACCATCATCAACCATTACGAACCGTTTGAACGGGGCTTTAGACCTAGAGAGACTGCGTCTTAATCTTTTGCGAATGACACTGTGCAGTCATTTTTTCTTCAGAGATCACGTCTGTTACCCGATTAATTCGAAGAACAGGCATTCGGTTATATTTACCCCTGGATATGTTGTTTCCATCCAGGAGTATTAAATGCAGGGAAACGCTATGCAAATTCCGTGGCGTTAAAACTTCCATGGCAGTCTGGAAAAACCCTTTAAAATTAGCTATGCTACTTTAGGGAAGGGCATTAGGGAAGGTGAAAAGCATTTTAAACTTTTAGAATGAAATAAAGCATTTTGTTGTTCTCCTTTGTCTTTTATAATTATAATAAAACGTTGTTTTGAAGTTGTCAAGTCAAAGACAAATTGGTAGGCCATAGGTAGTAATGCTGGCCTTTGAATATTTAGGATATCATTCTCTCTCGAATCGTCTCTATTGTCATTAAAACCGTCGGTATACGGATATCTAAATTCATCGCCTGCGAGCAGGCACTTATTTTTAGTAGCGCTACAGGCTGCGCGTTTTTCCACCCTTGGAATATTTGAGACGAGTCGAGGAGAGGTTCCACAGGGACGTGGCACTAGTAATCAGTGCTTGACCTATTGCAGACCTCTCGCTGGCTCGCGCTGCTCAAAGCCTCGTAGTTTCCCACGGAAAACTTAAATATCCACACTCCATTCCCAGTAGGTAACTTCAGCCGCATTTTTATTACTTTCATCATAATTATATGCAGCGTCTCTCTTAATTATATGCATTCTTGTCTCACTTCCATTCTCTCGAAATGATAAATTTCCAGTTAGAGTAATTAACGCTTACCAACAATTTTCACTTGAATCTTACGAATCCATGCTCCTTCCACAGTAAGCAACTCACAGCTAAATTCCCCGTTACTTTCATCATATGCAGCAGTCACACTGAAGATAACCAAAGTGAGTCGTTGGGAAATCCAAGTGAAATTGAACTTATCCTCAAAGGCA